CTTAATAATATACTATCCATTTTAATTTAATAACTTAATTAATAAATCTTTTATTATAATTATAATATTAATTAAATAAATTTTATAATTATAAAACCTATCCTTTATTTATATTATATTATTGATTTTAATAATATAACTATGAAATAGTATTTTAATCCATATCTTTTTTATATTAATATTTAATTATATCCTATTTATCATTTTAAATAAACTTAACTTAATAATTTTTTATATTTATTCCATTATAAATTATATATTATTATCTATTATTATATTTTTAATATCTTAATATTATTTAATATACAAATTTATTTTATTAATTACTATTTTAAACTTTTTAATTTATAAATTATTTTATATTTTTTAAACATTATTTATATTCTTTTAACATAATTTGGTTATAATTATTTTATATTTAATAAAAATTTTATTAATTAAATAATATTAATAAATAAAAATATTTTTTAAAATTCCAATAATAGTTTATTATTAATATCCAATATATTTAAGATTTTTATAATTTCTTTATTTTTAATTATAAATTATATCAATAGATATTTAAAATTAATTTCCTAATTTATAAAGCTATTTTAACTAATTAATATTTAATCGGTTTTTTTAAGATTAAAACTACAGGTTTAAATCCCGTAATAATTATTATTAAATAAAAATAAAATAATTTTTAAAATAAAACTATATATTTAACATATTAAATCTTTATAAAAAACATTCTTAATAATTAAAAATAACACTTTATTTTTAAATATATAACAAGATTATATTAATTAAAGATAAGGTTTAAATTTAAAAAAAAAGAAATAAATATATTTATTATAAAAAAAAATATATATAATAGGTATAAATAACTATAAAATTAATAAATATAAATAATATTTATTTATTAACTATTAATGATAAAAGAATTTATATCAATAATAATAATTAAGAAAATGTAACGATTTAAAGACTTTATATGGTTTTAAAAGCTAGGATTATATAATAAACCCTTACATACGATGTCATTACAACACTGCACTTATTCAATAATTAATATTTTAAAATATTTAAATAATATTTTTTTAAAATTATTTTATATAATATTTTTAATTATTATATTTTTTTATTTAAATATATATATTTAAAAGTTTTTATTTATATAAAAAAAACTTTTTATTTTATTAACCATTATATTAAAATTAAAACTTTTTTATATAAAATATTTATAAAAAAATTTTAATATTATTTTTTTTAATATAATATTATAAATATTAATATATAAATTTAATTTAATTTTAAATTTATAATAATAAAATAAAAAAATTTAAATTTATTTATTTAATATTTTATATTTTTTGTTTTTAAACTTAAAATTATTATTATTATATAACTTAATTAATATAATAAAAAATTAAAATTTATATATCATTATTTATTTATTTTATTTATAAATAAGTAATTTTTTAATAAATTTTTATATTATTTTTAAAAAAGTTTTTATATTTTTTATAAATCGACTTTATTATATAAAATTATTTATTATTATTAAAAACATTTAAATTAATTATAATTAAAAAATTATTTATTTTTTTTAAAATATTTAAACTTATTAAAATACTTAAAAAACTAATTAAAAATTTACAAATTATATTAAATTAAGTTATATTTATTTTATTTATAATTGCATAAATATTAATATAAAATTTTATATAATTATAATTTAAATATTTATAATTTAAATTATTAAAAATAATTATGGTAATAATGTTACCATTATTAAATTTAATTTAATTATAACATTTTCTATTATAATTTTTAATAAACATACGTATATTAAATTAATTATAAACTTAAATTTAAAAAAATAAGTTTTTAATAAATTAAACGTTTTTTTTTTAAAATATATTAAAAATAATTTTATATTAATAACGTTTATTAATATTTAATAATTATTAATTATTTCTTTTACATAAACGCCATAAAATATAATATATTTTTTTATTTTAACGTAAAATAAACGTTTAATTTTATTAAAATAAACTTTAATTTAACTATTAAAATCAATTTTAAAAATATGTTACAAAATTTTATTAATTATATTTTCGTTATAACTTTATATATTTTCGGCTATATATATTTTGATTTAAATTACCAAAACTTTTATTACATTATTAACTATAAGTTTAACATTAAACTTTTTATTGTTAATATATTTTTGTTAAAAATCTTATATTTATTTAATTATATTAAGTATATAATATTATAATTAAAGTTAATAATAATATTAATTATTATAATAAAAGAAATAAATAGAAAAAATAATAAAAAATAATATTATTATTAGAATATATATTATAAAAAAAAAGGTTTACCCAATTTTAATTTTGTAAATTATTTTATAAAAAATTGAAAAAAAATAACGTTATTATGTATTTTTATGGTTTTTAAATGTTATTATTTCTTTAGGTATTAAACTTTTAAATGATATTAATAAATAAAACTTTTTAAATAAAATTAAAAATTTTTTAAATAAAATATAAAATTTATTAATAAAATAAAATTATAACGTAATTTATAATATTATTATTTTTTTTTAATATTTTATGTATTATAAATAAAAATACGTAATAAATACATAAATTAATTAATATAAATTCCTTTAAAATTATTTACTTAATAAAATAAAATTTTAATATTATTTATTTATACGTAATAAATATAAACTTAAAATTTAAAATTTAACACATAAATTATTTTTTTTATTTAAAAATCTTAAATTAATATAAGATTTTTTAAAATTATATATAAAATTAAGAAATTTTAAGTTTAAAATTATATATAAAAATATAAAATCTTAAAATTATTTACTTTTTTTTATTAAAATTTAATATATAAGCTATTTTTTTTTTAAATATTTAATTAATTTATAATTAATTTATTATTAATTATTAATTAATATTAAATAAATAAAGATATTATATATAATATAAAAAGATATTATATATATAATAAATAAAAGTTATTATTAATAATATTTAATATATATTTTAATTATAAATTAAAATACATAAAAATATATATAAAATAAATGGGTTTATTTCACCCAAATCACATGACCAACGTTTTTACAATTATTAATCGGTTATTATTAAATTATTTTTTATTTATTAATAAAATTAAATTAAATTAATATATATATTAATAAATTGTATGAATGTTTTTTATTTTTTTTAAATTTAAATACTTTTTACCTAAAATTTTTTTAATATTATTTTAAATATATTTTATTATTATTTAATTATTATTTACTATTAATTAATTTTTATAAAATTACTTTTTATTTATTTATAAAATAATACCAAATTTATATATATATTAATAAATTATATAAATATTTTTTATTTTTAATATAATAAATAAATTTATACTATTAAAATATTTTTAAACTTTAACCTTTTTTTATATTAATTTATATATATTTTAATTTTATAATAAATATTTTTTATTTTTTATTATTATTAAATTAATTTATATATATATTAATAAATCATATAAATATTTTTTATTTTTACTATAAAAAATAAATATATATTATTTAAAAGCTTTTTATTATTTTGAAACGTTAATAATAGTTTATATAAACTTTAATTATTTTATTAAAATTAACTTTAAATTATTTTAACTTATATGTATATAATAATATAATAAAAATAAAATAATTTTAAAATAATAAATAAATTTATTAAATTAATGTAATAATTTAATAAATTTATAAAATTAAATTTAAATAAGTTTTAAATAAAAAATATTTAAATTTAAATTTAAACGTTTTTTACTTTTAACCATTTTAAAATAAAATAAACTTTTTATTAAATTTAAATGTTTTTTATATAAAAAGTTAAAAAATTAATTTTAAATAATTAAAATAAAAGATATTTTAAACATTATTATTATTTATTATATTATTATTAATATATTTTATTAAAAATTTAAATAAATATATACCAAATATAATTAAAAATTTTAAACGTATTTAAAATTAAAATTTAAAAAACGTTTTTTTTACGTTTTATAAATATAAACACATAAATTAAAAATTTTATAACGTTTATAACGCCAAAAAAAAAAACAAATACAAATAAAACCCATTTTTTAAATTTTAATTTTAACATATTAAAATAAAATAAATTAATATATATAAAAAAAAATATTTATTATTACGGTTAATAATTGTTGCTAAAATTTATTAAATTAACAAAAATTAACTTATAAATAAAACTTTTAAAAACGACTTTTATAAACGTATAAATATACGATATAATTAACGTTAAAATTATTACATGTTTTTAAATGTTAAAACTTATAATATTATAACGTAATGTTATATAAATATGTAAAAAAAACGAGAAAATAATAAAAACAAAAAATTAACTTTAAGTAATTAAAATAAAAGGTATTTTAAACGTTGTTATTGCTTATTATGTTATCGTCGATATAATTTTATTAAAATATATACCAAGTATAGCTAAAATGTTAAACGGCACTTAAGACTATTTTAAAATGCCCTCCAATATTTAGATAACATTTGGGCCATTTTCGGTCTCGGCTACCGAATTCCGTACGTTTTTTTCCTCATTTTCTAATTCTTCCCTTTCGGCATAACCTTTGCCCCGGGAACTTGTCTTCACGGGACCTTTATTTTTAAAGGATCTATGTCGTCTCGTATGACTTTTCACTAAAGAGCTACATTAAGTGAATTAATAAATCATGTAGTTGTTCTATCTTCTTGATCTTTCTCCGTCGATATGCCATTCTGCTGTATTAATATATAACCTCCTCCTTTCATTACAAGTCCTCTTTGGACCATCATGCCCTTTATATCATTTATATATTCGACATTTACTATAGCATCTTTCCGACAAGCTATTGTTCATCTATATCTTCAACGCTCCTTGTCACTTACATCTTCGGGTTAGACCTAATAGTAATTAAAATAAATAATGAAGGCCTGGACGTGGACTCGTGGAGGCTATCCCGGAGCATTACAACAATCCACGCTCCCGTCCGACACTGGGCCCCTCAAATCATCTGAGATACGTGTCGGAACGAAGGCTGCATCGATCAATCCTGTTGATGTTCAGTTGATGTCATACCCCCTAATATCACATCTTCCTGCCTTTCTTGTTCCGCCGCAAAAGGGCGTAGGCGAGGATTTCTCAGGTGTTGTTGAAGAAGCCGGATCGAACTCTGGCTTTAAGATCGGCGACGAAGTTCTCGGTATCACCCCGTTCCTCCCCGGTGGTACTCTCCAGGAGACAACTCAAATCGACACCAAAGTATCTGCAGTAGTGCGGAAGCCTACTGGTTGGTCCTGGGATCAGGCTGCGGCTCTCCCGCTGGTCTGGCTCACGGCCCGAACGACTATTGCCCGAGCAGAGTCTCATGTGAAAAGCGGCAAGATAGTTATCCTGGGTGGTAGTTCTAGTTGCGGCACGTACGCTGTCTATCTTGCAAAGCAGCGTGGTTGGACGGTGAAAGCCTCTTGCTCTGGCCGCAATGCCGATTTCGTTCGCAGCATGGGGGCAGACGATATCATCGACTACACAACTACTAACGTCCCTGAACAAGTCAAGGCCTTCGCTCCCGATGCTATTATTGATTTTGTTGGAGGCACGGAATGTCTAGGAATCTCAAAGGCGTACGTGACCGTCGTCGGCGACAAAACTGACCGGCTATCCCCGGGCGGTCGATATATTTACTTGTGGAATCCTCAGATGCTCCTTCGCGCCGTTGTCGGGAAGATAGGTCTTGGACAATCTTATACCTGTATAAATCTTGAGTTTAGCACCTCCTTTTTAAAGGAATTACTAGACCTACCTAAGGATAAGATCGTTATCGACTCCGTATTTGAGTTTGACCAAGTGAAGGAGGCATTTGATAAGCTTAACACCGGGCGTGTAAGGGGAAAGTTGGTCATAAATGTCGCTATGTGAGCGGTTGAAGTAGTATATAAGTGTTGCTTAACGTTTGGTGTTGTCCAGCCTTAGTAAATTTCATAAGTGTATTGCTTAGGTATGCTAAGCTATCTAATTTGTATAGTCCGTTAAGGACCAGGAGACTACTTGGGTAACTTATCTTGTTGTTCGTGGCTATCAGATTTTGTATTTTGCTACATTTATTACTAGAAACTCTCGCATATGAGTGAGTTTAGCTGTTTATGTTTATAGCAAGGAGGTTTCAAATGGTTAACCCTTGACCGAACAAACACAGCAGTGTTAGATCCGATCTATAACTCTTCATCATTTATAATTGCATTTATCTAGTGGTTAAGATGGGAAGCGAATCAGTAAATGCCACTCCCTGGTAAAGTCACTACATTCTGCACTCGAGTTAGTATACGAGTGTTCGTTTTACGTAGATGTTAAGTCTAGGCTCGCACAAGCTTTTGTTGTCTCTAGTAGGATACTATTTCGACATCGCCAAGTACTAACATCCACGAGAGAATTAACTATTCATCCTGGAAAGTTAATAAAGTCTATCATAGCTCGGGTTTAGATCATACGTGGGAATGAATGTGTAAACCAAGGTTAAGTGTTCGTTTACAGCAGTTATGCCTAGTTTAAAATATCACTGGAAGGGTAGAAAGCGCCGCCAAACTCGACTTAAATTGTCTAGGATAGCTCTCAAATATCTGCTACCGAAGAGTCGTATATGTATAGGTACTTAACTAAAGTGAACCCAAAAATTCGTACGAAATAGCATTCCCTTCTCAACTTTTACTCAGCCTCTTTTTAAGAGGTTACACATAATTCCTCGGATATAAAGTAGAACGAACCATAGACGGTTAAAACTCATCAGCCAGCATGCTAGAGCAACCGAAGATTGAAAAATATACGCCGTATAAGAAGTGAGCTTTTATCAGGTGAGTTGAATGTGATTGAAATCCCTCATCTAATAAGACATTGAAATAACTAAACGACGTCAGTCGATCCCAAGTGATATCCTCTTAGCCTCACTGTAGTGAAAAATTATGAAGATCTTTAGCAACCTCATGATCTTATAGTTTAAACCACAGCTAGCATCGTCATAGGTACGAGGATGACGGCCGGATTTTCTCGGTGTCTTTGTATAATAGACGACTATGCGTCAGGGAAATTGACTTTGTGAGGGAAGACTACGAGAGATCTTAAATCCCAAATTTGCATATCTCCCACTCCATGGCGTTTTTCAATTCTATACCTGTCCAATACTGTTGCAAAATTACGCAATGGCCGTGATTTTCATCTTGGGGCATATATTTTACATAATATTCTATATATATTATGGGGGATTGGACTGTTGTTGGACTGAGCTGAACCAACCTATTGCCCCGGTGACAGATCTAAACGCCATGAGGAAAATAGAACTGTCAGGATTCTAGATGTTTCATATAGAACAAAACCAGATTTAATATGTAAGGTAGACATAGAACCTCTTAGATAGCTAGAGTTCTTTGTTAAACATCAAAGTTGTTTCCGTGCGGTTTGGTTCCACCTCGTGACAAGAACTGAATAAGATCTTAATGCATACAGTATTTCCTCGAGACGGGAGATGATACATCCGACTTATCTAATAACCTCCCCTCATTATGGGGAAGGAAATACGGATGGGTATTCCGCCACGTTGAAGAGATGATAATGAAAAGAGAAGAAAAGGGTGCGAGCAGTGGATTTGAATATATTGAAATATGCAGGAGTTAGGACTGACATAAATAACTACGCATTAGTTACTATTCGGAGACTTTTCGTAAGACTGAACGTGAGCTGTTTGGTAAGGATTAGGTTGATCTTTCTGGGCAAGATCTTTTTCATTGGCTGTGGCAAGAAGCTATATAGAAGTTGAGACACGAATATAACAATACTATTGGGGAATATGATTATAATGTGGTGATGGAACTGGGCCTAGCCTTGGCCTGCGGTGCGGGATTAACAAGTATTTACGCGTATCAATATCTATTTATTGAGGCATTGCAGTATTGGCATTGAGGCATTGAGGCATTGAGACAGTTGTTGAGAAATGGAGCGACCCAACAGAAATAAGCGTTTCACATATCTTCTTCGACTTACGGATTACGGATCATTAAAACGATATCTTCTAGGCATTCCACAATATATTTGTATTCCGTACTTATTTATATTAGTGGCTGGCTGCTAACAGTCAGCCACCGTTCTGGCGTCGAACGGTGTAGCCCGATTATGGCTGCAGAATATCCGGTGATAATCGAATGCCGAGAGTATCACAATACGCGGCGAGGCGAGCTGTAATCCACTCAGTCCCGCATGTGGTCAAGGAATAGTCCTGGTCTGGTTTGAATGAGACAATACATGAGACAATTATGTTAAATGTCTCTTATGAGTGTACCCTAAAAAAAGACCTCGAGTTCGAAAGGGTCAAGTTGATACGACTAGGTAAATGGTAGCGCTCTATTTTAATATGCCTCTTAGGGTAACCCCCTTAGCTAAGCCTAGGTGCTGAAGATAAGGCCGGTCGCTAATCCTAGCCTTATTATTGGGGATACTTCCTACCCTGCATAAGGACGTACGTGCTACATTAGTTGATTAGGACCCTGCCAGGTGGGCTAGGCGATTGGTAACCATTGAAAGTAAATACCTCTTAAGGGGGGTGATACATACTAGCCCACTAATACCTACCTGTTATTAAGTACATGTATCCATCTAGGCTGTCGTAAGGCGCTGCCCCTCTTCAAAAAAAAACCCCCCGCGCAAGGGACTGGCCAATTCTTCGCCCTGAGCTGGACTTTCTCGAGCAAAGTCCATGACAGAGGTGGGGTTAATCCGTAAATTCGTTCTAACTAACTCGTTTTAACTTTTCTGAATCATTCATATTTTGGAAATACCTCACATCACGTTATTCCGTAAACCCTTTTTCAATCCTCATCTTCCCTCCTTATTCCAGTTCCTACTGTCTTTCTCCCATTTTCTAGTTCAACACAACATTACTTTCCTCCGGCCTGATTGTACGGCCGTCTGATACCCTTTTCTCTACCCTGACGTCCCTGTCTTGATATTGCTCTCAGTTGCTTCTAACTAAGCATGTCTGCCTCTTCTCTTGATCACCTTGCCCTAGGTGGCCGTGTCGAATGGCTCGCGAGCCTTAACACGGCTGCTGCTCCCGGCAAGAATGCCCACCGACGAACCTCCATCATCTGCACCATCGGACCCAAGACCAACTCTGTTGAGAAGATCAACTCTCTGTTAGTCTAGACCTATATCTATGTAACTTCTAGAAGCTAATATTGGCCCAGTCGACAAGCAGGTCTTAATATCGTCCGCATGGTGAGGATCTCTTCGTAACAATGTCATTGTGTCACTTGCTGATTTGAGCTATATGTAGAACTTCAGCCATGGGAGCTACGAATATCACCAATCTGTCATTGACAACACCCGCGCTGCGGAGAAGCAGCAGCCTGGCCGACAAGTTGCCATCGCCCTCGATACGAAGGGACCCGAGATCCGCACTGGTGATACTGAGCACGGTGACGATATCCCCCTCAAGGCCGGAACCGTCCTGAACATTACTACGGATGAGAAGTATAAGACAGCATGCAGCGCAGAGAATATGTATGGTGAACTTCCACTGTAAATATAAAATCGTGGTGCTGACAGAATCCGTAGGTATGTGGATTACACCAACATTACCAAAGTGATCTCGCCGGGAAAGATTATATATGTCGACGATGGTGTGCTTGCCTTCGATGTTCTCAGCATCAAGGATGACAAGACTGTCGAAGTCCGCGCCCGAAACAACGGGTTCATCTCCTCCCGAAAGGGTGTCAACCTCCCCGACACTGATGTCGATCTCCCTGCTCTGTCAGAGAAGGACAAGAAAGATCTCCGATTTGGAGTCCAAAACAATGTCGATATGGTTTTTGCCAGCTTTATTCGACGAGGTGAAGACATCCGTGCGATTCGAGAAGTGTTGGGAGAAGATGGTAAACACATTCAGATTATTGCCAAGGTTAGTAATGAATCACCATACGCTCTTCTCTTCTTCGTGATAAACTTGATTGCTAATTAATGAGCCTACAGATTGAGAACCGACAAGGGTAAGTCATTGCTGTCTCGAAAATCGAATCACCTTTTACCTTCAGCTGTAGCCCCTATCTCTGTAGAATATCTACCTCGTAAGTTTCATGGATGGGAAACGCTAACAGATAATCTTTTATAGACTTAACAACTTCGATGAAATTCTTAAGGAGACCGATGGTGTTATGGTAGCCCGTGGAGATCTAGGCATTGAAATCCCGGCTTACGAAGTATTCGCCGCTCAGAAGAAGTTGATTGCGAAGTGCAACATTGCTGGTAAACCGGCGATCTGTGCCACGCAGATGTTGGAAAGCATGATTACCAACCCTCGCCCAACCAGAGCAGAAATCAGCGATGTTGGTAACGCTGTTACTGACGGAGCTGACTGTGTCATGCTCAGCGGTGAGACCGCCAAAGGTGCGTATCCGGAGCTGGCCGTCCGCGAGATGAGCAACACCTGCCTTGCTGCAGAGAACTCTATCCCCTACGTCAGCCACTACGAGGAGATGGTCACGCTGTCGAAGCGTCCCACGAGCGTTGTCGAGGGTTGCGCTATGGCTGCTGTACGAGCGTCTTTGGACCTGAACGCGGGAGCCATTATCGTCCTGTCGACGTCTGGTGATTCTGCTCGTCTACTATCCAAGTACCGACCGGTGTGCCCTATCTTCATGGTTACTCGCAATGCATCCGCGTCGCGCTATGCGCACTTGTACCGTGGTGTCTATCCTTTCCTATTTGACGAAGCTAAGCCGGACTACGACAACGTTAACTGGCAAGAGGATGTAGACCGCCGCATTAAATGGGCCGTTGAGAGGGCCTTAGGATTAGGACTTCTGAACAAGAGCGATACCATCGTCGTTGTCCAAGGCTGGAGAGGTGGTATGGGTAATACAAACACAACACGGATCGTCAAGGCCGATCCGGCTTCCCTAGGATTAGGAATGATGCATTGATAGATGCATTAGTTAATAGGAACAAGGAACTTTACGGAAGGTAGTTTACTTAGGTAGTCTCTACGGCGTTATAAGTCAGAAGGCAACTTGAGATGATCAATATATTATAAATATGATTATGTATATTTCTCCTTTCTTTTTTGCCCCTCCTTGCTTTGCGTGGTTGTGTACGGATCCGTACATTTGCTTTTTTTTATAGTTCAATATGTACCTTAATGAGCTTGTCGAAATGCCGGTACCTTGATAAACTCTTGTAAGCAACCTTAGGTACCTAGCAAGTACATACATCTGCGCAAGTAGGTACATGCATAAGTGTGTATGATACTTGTGAGTAATTGAATAAAATTTATTCAGAGACCCACTTATTAAAGCGGCAAGTGCCCCGCGTCTTCTAGGGGACCCCTCGGAGGCTTCCAACTTTGACTCACGCGAAATTTTGGCGGGGTCATTTTTGGCTTCCTACATCGTCTTAAGATTCGATTGATATTAGAAGTTCTTCATACTTTCCTCAGTCCCTTAAGCAGACTTACAGTCCCGAAGGGCTGTCGCGGTTCGCCAAGATGAGCATCAGTTTCCCCAAGACAGAAGAAGAAACAGTGCAATTCTGGCGAGAGGTCGATGCGTTTCAAACTCAATTAAAGCTCACCGAAGGCCAGAAGCGCTTCACCTTCTACGATGGCCCGCCATTTGCAACAGGTCTTCCTCACTACGGCCACCTCCTAACTTCTACGATTAAAGATATTATTCCCCGATATTGGTCTATGAAAGGATATCATGTCGTTCGTCGTTTTGGTTGGGATACACACGGCCTCCCCATCGAATATGAGATCGATAAGAAGTTAGGTGTATCCGGTAGAGATGCCGTCTTACAGATGGGCATTGAAAAGTACAATGCTGAATGCAGAGCTATCGTGATGAGGTTTGCGGCCGAATGGAGACAGACCATTGAGAGACTGGGTCGCTGGATAGATTTCGACAACGGTGAGTCAGATCACTTGCGCAATATATACCAGTAATATGGCACTGACGACGATGCTGAAGACTACAAATCTATGGATGTCACGTTTATGGAATCCTGCTGGTGGGTTTTCAAGCAGCTCCACGATAAGGACCAGGTCTACCGCGCATACCAGATTATGCCCTTCTCTACCGCGCTCTGCACCCCGCTAAGCCATATGGAATCTAAGCAGAACGAGAAGACGACGCAAGATCCGGCAGTTTTGATCGCCTTTCCTGTGAAAGACAGGGACTCGTCTTTAGTCATCTATACCACGACGCCCTGGACGCTACCTTCTAACCTCCTTATCGCTGTTCATCCCGACTTCGAATACGTTGAAATTCTTGACGAGGACTCTGGCAAGAAATATATTCTTCTCGAAAGCGGAATTTCTATGTTGTACAAGGAGAAGAAGAAGGCAAAATATAAGATCGTTGGCAAGCTGAAGGGCAAAGATATGATCGGTTGGAAGTACGAACCGTTGTTCCGTTACTTCGCCGACCAGTTCGCCGACTGTTTCCAAGTCATAGGCGCCGATTACGTCGAAGCCGACGAGGGTACCGGTCTTGTGCACCAGGCTCCCGGTTTCGGTCAAGAGGATTACGACGCTGCGGTCGCCGCCGGATTCATAAGTCCGAAGCGCTTACCCCCGTGTCCTGTAGATGATAAAGGTCTCTTTACCGCTGAGATAACCCACTATGCTGGCCAGCACGTGAAAACTGCCGACAAGGCCATTGTCAAGGATCTGAAGGAGACTGGTCGACTACTTCTCGCAACTCAAGTGTCCCACGTGGACAAGTTCTGCTGGCGGTCTGACACACAGCTCATCAGGAAAGCGGTGTCTTCCTGGTTTATTCGGGTCACCAACTCTGTACCTGACATGCTCAATAATCTTGAGTCGACTACTTGGGTTCCTTCCTTCGTCAAAGAAAAGCGGTTCACGAACTGGGTCGCGAACGCCCACGACTGGAATATTGCTCGGAATCGGTATTGGGGTACGCCAATCCCATTATGGGTCAGCGAGGATTACGAGGAAATTGTCTGCGTAGGAAGCATTGCCGAACTTAAAGAGCTGAGCGGGTATACCGGCTCGCTAGACGACATCCACCGAGACAAAATTGATGGGATCACAATTCCCTCCAAGAAAGGAAAGGGACAACTTCGCCGTATTGACGAAGTTTTCGATTGCTGGTTCGAGTCGGGCAGTATGCCGTACGCCTCTAACCACTTCCCCTTCGAAAATTCCGAAGAATTTCATAACGGAAACTTCCCCGCGGATTTTATCGCCGAAGGACTCGACCAAACCCGTAAGCATTCCACTTTTTGTTGAAGTTATACAGCATTCACTTGTATTTCGGAGGCATTTCGTCAAGGTACTGCTGTTGCTAACCATGTCTGACGTTAGGCGGTTGGTTTTACACGTTAAGCGTTCTAGGAAATAAGCTTTTTGGTGTCTCGCCGTTTCGCGCAGTCATTGTAAACGGCTTGGTTTTGGCAGAAGACGGCAAGAAGATGTCCAAGAGCTTAAAGAACTACCCGGATCCTAAAACTGTTATTGATCAATATGGCTCTGACGCCCTACGCCTTTACCTCATCAACTCCCCTGTCGTTCGTGGCGAGCCTCTACGGTTCAAGGAATCGGGAGTTAAGGAAGTGGTGGCGAAGGTGTTACTGCCTCTCTGGAACAGTTACCGCTTCTTTTATGAGCAGGCAATCCTATTCAAGAAGACGACCGGCAATGATTTCGTCGCTCAATTACCAGAAACCACCAACGTCATGGACCGATGGATTCTTGCAGACTGCCAGAGCATGTTGCAGTTTATTGACCAAGAGATGGCCGGTGAGTCTATAATCTGTACGAAATAGATAATTCGCTAACCCTACAGGTTATCGTCTATACACCGTCGTGCCGCGTCTGCTTCTAGTGATTGACAACTTAACGAACTGGTACATTCGCTTCAACCGAAAGAGGCTCAAGGGCGCTGCTGGCCTAGATGTTAAGGACACCAAGGCAGCATTAGATACGCTATGCCAAGTGCTATTCACTTTAGTTCGGGCTTTGGCACCTTTCACGCCCTTCATTACTGAGCATATCTACCGCCTCCTACAACCGTATCTTGGCAACGCTCTTGCGGATTATCCTAACTCTAAAAGTGTGCATTTCCTTGCGTTCCCGACTGTGCAGGAGTCACTCTTCGACGAGGTGATCCAAAGAAAGGTGTCTGCCATGCAGAAGGTGATCCAGCTGGCAAGGACTGCGAGGGAGCGTAAAACTATTCCGTTGAAGACACCCTTACTCACCCTCGTGGTTATTGCTGATAAACAGCAACTCGACGATATCGAGGAGCTGCAGACATATGTTAAGGAGGAGCTTAACATCCGAGACGTGATCCTGACGAACGACGAGGAACGATACGGTATTCACCTCGAGGCTAAGGTTGACTGGCCGATTCTAGGCAAAAAGCTGAAGCGCGACGCCCAGGTCGTCCGCAAGGCACTACCAGACCTAACGCAAGAGCAGCTTAGACAATACCTAAAAGAGAAGAAGATAACTATCAAGGGTATTGAGCTCGAGGGGAACGATATCAGTATCGTACGGGCCGTAGCTAAGGATAACCCCAATATCGTAAAAGATGAAGGGGTACAATACGAACCAGCCTTCTTGGAAGATATGATTATTCTCCTGGACACGGCATCGCACCCGGAGCTCATCGACGACGGAATCGCCCGAGATGTCATGACCCGTGTGCAGAAAATGCGGAAGACGGCCGGACTGGTTCCAACCGATGACGTCCGCATGCAGTATAGCGTTGTTTCGAACCCTGACGGTGTTCAATTCGAGACGTTGGTATCCTCCCGGCGGTCTCAGTTTGAGAGTACCGTACGTGGGCCGTTGGAGCCTATTGCGCTTGAAGGGGCGGCAGAAACCGTCATACTAGAGGAGGAGCACGTTATCAGCAATCTAACCCTATTGCTAAGGTTGTGTCGGCTGTAATTAGACTACATAGCGAAACTATAGAATCAGCTGGGCTATGTGATCCCAGAAATTGAAGAAAAAATTTCCCCCAGTTAAGCTCAAGAGCCCACGAATAGACACGTTTGCAACGGCCAGAAGTGATCACGATGAATCTCTTCCTTTTGAAACAATGTATATTTGTGGGTTATCTAACTACGTTTTCTTGCCGATAGAATGCTTGTTCGTCAACCGTTAAAGACTTATAGCAATCTGTACAACTCTGCGTATACTTAACAGGGTGAAAGACGATGATCTCCAATGCTAAAGAATCAGCTGAAAACGTAAGCTTAGGAAAACGAAGTAATTATGGAATTTGAAACAAATTGCGTTTGAAGGTGAGCTGTATTATTGAACCTGGCTGTGCCTCCGAGGCGTAAAAGCAGGAGAGCTAATATCACTTATGATATGGGAGGTAAGGTGGTTGAGAAACAATCCGATGCTTTCATAAAGACGCCGATTCTTACCCTTTTGATGTTATCTAGATCGAAAAAAAAGAAATAAAATTCTACCTCCGTACCTTTAAATATTTAAAAAGGGGCCTATCGTGAAGTGATCTGTTTAGTATGCACATAGATATGTACGTAAAGGTAGGGGTGGCTTTGAAGTTCGGGGATTTGTTCTGAGACAGCAGATGTTGATTGGCTGAACCCTAAGGAGTGTCCGGGCTACCCCTGAAGTTATATATACATGTATCAATATGTACCTCCTATCTTGGGTAATATTAATGTATTTAATTCCTCCCAGTGGTACTTGCGTACGTACGGGCTACGTGATCGAAATTGTTGAAGAGAACTTTATTCGCCGTTAGGAGGATGCTAAAAGGGGTCGTTCTATTTCTGAGTCTTGCAGGGAAGATCTGGGGGGCTTTAGCCTTTTGGGAATCGGTCCCCGAGATACAGGGCCCCTATTCGCATTACGGTTGAGATTACACACACACATATACACAAGGACACACACACACAGACTCATGCTATCTACTTACAAGCG